CAACTGAGTAGAGAAGAAACATCAGGTGTGATTTACAAAATGTTCTGCAAAAATTGTGACAAGTACTACGTGGGCCAGACAGGGAGGAAACTTGGCACAAGACTGCATGAACACAGTCTGGCCATCCGCCGCCATGATGAAAGATCACTAATGTCAGTACATATGGATGCCGAAGGCCATCAGTTCGATCTGGGGAACGTCAAGATACTTGGAAGAGCAAAGAACCACAGAGCGCGTGAGTTCATCGAGGCCTGGCATTCGGGCCAGAATTCAATCAACAAGCATCTAAAACTCGAAGGGGTTTACGAAGCTCTGCAGATGAGGTCAAAAATAAGTACCAGATCGACAGGGCGTAGACATGACCACTTGGCGACCCACATGAGCCAATCGAAGACACATTCAAAGCAGGAGACGATCAATAGTCACTTGGATCTGGCAGTGGCTTACGAGACTGCAAATCAGACCTCTATAACCGCACTGAGGATGTTGCTTAGTTTGGCAACGAAACGTCTGCAACAAAAGTGCCTAGCTCAAAGAACACAACAATCCTCTCAGATCCCAATCTGTCTCTGCAATCACATTCCTGAGCTGGATCTGCTCCCCACTGCCTTGTGGATCAGACTATTGAGCCAAAGGATCCGGGTGGAATCCCACAAGCAAACCTCCGAAGGACAACCGCCACCTCGCGTGCGATTGCCCACCAATGCAATCGTATGCCTGCGCGCAAAGCACTCAGCATCGGGTTCAGGAACGTGGGAATACTACTGGACCGGAACTCGAGTGAGCGCACCAAGTGACGCACTGCACTCGTCGAGATGGAATTGCCGCGCTACCACATCGAGATTGCGGCGCTCAGTGAGACCCGGCACGCTGAGCAACTAAATTGCATGAAGCAAGTGCTGGCTACACGTTCTACTTGGTGGGAAACGCCACCGCAGCACCACGTGATCATGGGGTCAGATTCGCAATATCCGATCGCTTCCATGGCCAGCTCGTGGGTGAACCAACAGGCATCAGCGCGCGACTGATGACTGTTCGCCTACCACTAAGAAGAGGTAAGTTTGCCATTTTTATAAGCAAGTACGGTCCAACCATGTGTTATCCTGATGACATGCGTGATCAATTCTACCCTCAGCTATCCTCAGTGATACGGTCTGTGCCGGGGAGTGACAGATTATTTCTGCTGGGTGATCGCAGCGCCCGCGTTGAACGTGATGCATCGGTGTGGACAGATGTTATCGCTGAGCATGGCATTGGTTCAGCGAATGCGAACGGTGACAGGCTGCTCTCACTGTACGTCACTCACGGCCTGACGATCACGAACACTCGGTTTGTACTGAGTGCGAGTGATATAGCAACTTGGACGCACCCACGGAGTGGTCACGCTCACCTGCTCGACTATGTCATCGTACGTCAGCGTGATATGCGCGAAGTGCGCAGACTTGTGTACTGCGTGGAGCTGAGTGTGGCACTGATCTCAAATAAGTGCAAACCACACTGTACATATATTTTCGTAAGTCTATGTGTTGCACTACCGACGTGAATCGGCGAACAATGTGACGAAGCGTATTGAGCAGGAGAAGGTGATGGATGTACGCCTGTGTGATGTGGACTGCATAGCCACGGTGGGCGACCTGTGGCACCACATTCGCGAGCTGGTGACAGCTGCTGCCGAGACCATAAGGCGCGCAAACTGAAAGCGGCCTGATTGGTTTGATGAGAACGATGCGACGATTGACACATGGGTGTCGGAGAAGAATGCAGCATTTGCCGCACATGTGGCAGACCCCAGTGACTGGGGGAAGAAGAGAAAGTTCGGCGGAATTCGACGACGACCGACCCAAGAGCTCCGTCACATTAAAAATGCATGGTGGACCGAGAAGGTGAAGCAGATGGAATGTCACGCTGACCGCCGCCAACACAAAGAATTTTTCGACTCCTTGAAGACGGTGTATGGACCGAGGTTGGAGCCATTGAGGAAGCCGATCGATGCTACTTCGGGCGCTACCTGCACGCAGACTGCAGACATAATGTAGATCTGGCTAAAGCACTGACTGTCTCTTGAACAACCGTGCAGAATTTGAGTGGCCTACTTTGAACGGCCAAAAACAGCACGAAGTGAAGGCGAGTCCGGCGGACGCGCCGACAATGGATGAGATGCACAGTGCACTTGCTCAGCTGCGAAACGGCGTGTGTCGGTGCCCACGGCATCCCAACTGAAGCATTGAAACACTGCGGAGCTGCGTTGGCGAATGCGCTGCATCACCTGGTGCAACGCGTGTGAATTGAGGAGGAGGTGCCTCCTGAGCTGAAGGATGCCCTTGTGCTACCACTGTATAAGGGCAAGGGATGCAAGCAAGGTGCCAAGAATTATCGTGGTATCAACTTCCTGAGTTGTGTGGGCAAGGTGTTTGCCCAAATCATGCTCAACCACTTTGTCAGAGAGATTGTGGCACCGAACGTGAGGTAAGAGCAAGGTGGATTCCGTTCGGGTCGCAGCACCATCGATTTGGGGTTTGCCGCCGGTTAGTTACAAGAGAAGCGTCGAGAACGACACTACCCTTTGTACTCGCTTTTTGTTGATTTCACTAAAGCATTTGATATGGTGAACCGCGAGGCATTGTGGCTGGTGTTGGGTAAGTTTGGTTGTCCGAGTAAATTTGTAAGTTTAATTGGATGTCTGCACGGAAGTATGCAAGCGAGGGTTCAGATGAGTGGACAGACCTTAGATGACTTTGCAGGTGTCCCTGGTGTGAAGCGAGGCTGTGTCTTAGCTCCTGCCCTGTTAGATATGTATCTCCATGCCATTATGTCTTGTGCTTTTGATGTGGCTTGTGCTCACGGTGTTCGTGTGGAGCACCGTATTGATGGTGGGTTGCTGAACATCCGTCGTTTCGGTGCGAGAACCCTAGTCTATGAGACAACTATCCGTATGTTACTGTTTACTGACGATTGTGCGTTGTTTGCACACAGCGCGGATGAGTAGCAGCACATTACTAGTGCTCTGGCTTCGACAACGGCAAAATGCGGACTCACCATCAACACAAGCAAAACTGTCAGTCTCCTTCAGCCTTCACCGGAGGTGCAATCTGCAATGTTGCCGCAAATCAGCATTGCTGACGAGGTATTGGAAACCACCTCCAGCTTCTGGGACATTGGGAGTGTGGTTTCGAATGATCAGCAAATGCATGGTGAACTGCGTATCCGCGTCTCGAAGGCAACGGCGGCATTCTGGAAGCTAGAGTACCAAGTGTGGAACAACCATCAGCTTACCGTTGACACGAAGCTGATGGTGTGCAAATCCATGGTGCTGTCCGTTCTCCTACACGACAGAGAAACGTGGATGTATCGGCGAGATGTGAGATATCTCGAGCGGTTCCATCAACAGTGTCTACGACGGATTCGGCGCATTGGTTGGTGGGACAGTGGTGGATACGAAAGCGTTGCGCCGTAGTGGAATGTATGCAGTGGACTACATACTCGGTCATGTGTGGCGTGTGGATTGGACGCGGATACCGAAGCAGCCATTATATGGTCAACTGAATTTGGGGAAGCGGCATATAAGGAAACCGAAGCTTCGTTACCAAAACATGATCGAAATGAACCTCACGTTCCAATCTTGATTGTAGGTCATGGGAATCGAAAGCGGTTGATCGGCGTGCATGGCGCGATCTGATCACGAACGCCGTTGCCGAGGTGTAAGAGAAAGCCCTCGTGCATGCAGAGAAGAAGCGGCAACTGCCGAAGCGACACACGCCGATGGGTTGTACTCCATCGACAGCAAGCGCATGGTGCTGTAGCACATGCGGTCGCGAGTGCCTAAGTCAGACAGGACCAGTGAGCCATGAGCGAAGCCACTCTGGGCCGACACCGAAACGATGACAAGTCCCGTTGAGAGCGTAGGCAGAACCGGCGCAGCGTTTGTAGGTACGATACATTCGATTTACTAACCGCTTCCTTGCATGCTGAGTCTCTTTATTTCAGGTGGTGGGTTTGCTATATTGTCCTAATGCTTTTTTTATCTCATATTAATGTCCACCTGAACTATCTTCTATAAACTTGCACACGTTCCTTAAACTACTTTAGTTAACTTCGATAACATTTTCGCGTTTGTGGCATTTTCTTAAAATATATTTTCTGACGTTTGAACTTATCGCGGATTTGTTCGTAACCAATTTACTTTATATGCTCATTAGATGAAGAGTTATGTCACCGTATATGTACGCAGTGCTCGATTTATTTTATTTGATATCGTCGTTTCAAGTGATTGGTTGTTGCTTGATATCCCCGGTGTGGCTGTGCTTGATGTTCATGTTGACAAGGTACCTACCTGTCTATTACCCACTACCTCGTCTATATTATCTCCAGAAGACAATTGGTCGTTGCTGGAGGGGACGGGGTGCACGGTCCTTGTGGCCGTGCTAGGCTCGAAGAGTGGTTCCATGCACTCAGTGTGGAGCGGACTACGGTCCAGCCACCGCCTTGTGTGCGGTTGATTCCCCAAATATAGCGTGCTTGTGTTTGCCTGTGAAGGAGTGTGGGCCGGCTCCGTTGATGAAACGTGGCTCCCATCCACATGCCACCCGGTCTTATTCCTTCAGGTTTACACTGTATATGGGTTGTGTGGATGAAGTTGTGGGTGGTTCAGCGCAAACCACCCATTGTCGCTCTGTAGGCGCAGGCGTTCTGTGGCTGACCACAGTGACAAGCAAATCCGAAATCGAATGCCGCCAACCACGTACGAAGGCAGCTGGACACATCGTGTCTTGATGCACGGAGGAAAGCTCACAAACTGAACCTGGTTTACGTCAAGATTAATACTGACAAATACAACAGTTTTCAAATGCAATTATGGGCTGTGGACAGTGAGCCGGAAAAAACATGTACCTTGAAAAGCTGTCCAGGAAAAGGGGATAAAACGTCTGCCGATAATGCAAGAACAAGGTATACAGTGAAAGTGAGGAACAAGAGAGCAGCGGGATGAAAATGTGGTGACTTACACGAGCGAGATCCATTCAACGGGGCAGTTCAGGAGTATGAGACCGGAACCAAGAACCACAACAGTGCGATCAAGAACGGTGAAGGGACGGTTCAGTTCTCGTACACGATAAACGAAGAAGCACAGTGCCAAAACAGAGAATGGAAAAACCATTGTTTTCAGGGAAAACCAAATCTAAAATACCGAAAGTGAGGGATGACAGATAACCTACAAGTAAAAACAGTCAAAAATTGGAGACTTGAAGATATAGCTACCCGTGAATAAAAAGGTGGGTTAGCATAGGATAGGTCGCTTAACTTCTTGGCCATATAACTCCTTAGAAACAAGAGTGCAACATAAAAATAAAACGTAAACAATTGTATGCAACACTACATCGTGCAAGTTCCAAGTAGATAAACCATGGAAAACAATTGTTTGCCTTTATAGTTTCCAAAGTTTGGTAAGGAAATGAGATTAACAAGTGAAGCAATTAGGCGTCCAAGCACTACGCTCTGAGAACCGATTCCAAGTGTGCTTGTAAGCCGTCCGAGTAGGTAGTGCGAATCGTCATAGTAAACATCATCAACACCGGGGGCAGAAGACTACCTACTTTGGTGAACCCTCCGTTTTGGTGGATTTCGACCATCCAGACGTCCTGAAGTACACTTCCCGATTGACCGAGAGATCCGTTCACATCTTTCGGTATACGCAAATTCAACACGTATTCCTCATGATGACAACTTGCTAGCGAGAACAAAGGTATAACCTCACATTCGTAGTAAAAATCGGAATCCGAAGGACGCAGCTGATTCAAATGATCTTTCGCAGCGGGGTCAGGAGTACACCGGAGTGGTCGAGTTTCAATCGAATGTGCTAATTCGTGCCAAACACCCTTCGGATCGTCACCGTTACGATAACCGAGCCTCAGGTCAAACAAAATTTTCGCATCGTTAGCAATGAGCTGTCGGAAAACGATAAAAGGATGCACACAAAAATGAAAAAAAGAAATCAGGCGAAAACAGATCATCATCATTTTATACATGAGTTAAGGGTGAGAAACGCATCAGCTACCGTGTGGCTATACTTCAGCATCGTCATCAACAGACGTTAGCTTAGGATGAGAAGCACACCTCAGCTAATGTGTCACAATACAAAAATAATAAGATATTAGACATCATAGATTGCAAAATTAAGAAAGTAATAAAATGTCAAATATCATATTATGTATTGGATATGAGATCGTTGTTGAAGAGGATGGACAAAGAAATTCATAACACACGCCATTGAGATCGGATCCTTACATTGTAAGCAAATCAAGCAGGTAGAAGAAAAAAGCAAAGCAAACAAAACAAAACATGGTGCAATGCTGTGCTTCATATCATGCATTGAGATCGTTGTTGGAGGAGGAACATATGTGGGTGGGGGAAGTCAAAGAAACTAACAATACATCATCATTCTTCATCATACCAGTTAGTTGCAGATGGAAAATACCTTCGTTATTGTGCCGCAATACAGAAGAAAAGAAAAACAAACATGAAACGGAGGCACGCTGGCTGAGTCACCAGCAACGGATGGACATGGTTCCGGAGAGCTAACAGCCGGCTACTGTGCCGTAATAAAGGAATTATATTATGCTTAATAAATGAGCGTGGTTGGAGGAGGAGGCTAAGCTGGAGAGGGAGGGACAAAGAAACTCACAATACAAATGCCATTGAGATCGGCTCTTGGTCACGTAACAAGTGTATGCAATCGAACGTATTCATCGTCCCTCAGGACCATAACCCGTGAATCGGAGAGCGCAAAACGACGCCAAGTGTGAAGTGAAGAACCTTATTCCATTTGACTAAGTCATCGCTTGACTTCCCTTCCTCTTCTTACATCCAGACCCAGGTCGAGTAAACCACGCGCGTCCTGGGTATGCAAACGACATAACTCACTCTTGGTCTGACGCGGTGGCTATGCAAACACTACTGCACAGACTGAGGTGTAGCGTTGCATGCCTCCGCATGTGTCTTGCACATTCAAAGTGCAGTGTACTGCTACAGGACTGGACCGATACTTCAGCGGTTCTAGTTATAAGCTAACGGCCACTGAAAGTGGTGAATCGGCTCACATAAATTAGTAGCGGTATGTCCTTCGGTGGTCAAATCATTGAGGGAGTTACTTCGCGTATCATCAAGGCCCGTGTGGTTTTCCAGTGGTTCAACCATCGATGGATATAGGGAGATATCCGCCTGACAGTGAAAGCTAGGATGTAGAACGGTGAAATAAGGCCTATGTTACTACATGGATCAGAGATGTGAACACTTCGCAGTGAAGACATTAAACACTTGGCGGTGTTTGACAGCCGGTGCTTGCGGAGTATTGCTCACGTCTGATGGGAACATCGGGTGAGCAATGCTGAGGTCCGCTAGTTGTTTTTTTGGCAAGAAGCCTTCTGGTGCCTCACTGGAGTGTTCACTGCACCTTAATCGTTTACACTGGCTAGGCCATGTGCTCCGTATGCCCGTTGACCAACTTCCACGGAGTACATTAGACGCCGTTGCTACACCAAGCTGGGCGAAGCCGTGAGGTGGCCAATCCACGACGTGGCAGCAAGACAAGAATAAACCGACCGAGAGACTTGATCTGGCTAAAGCATGCCGTCTTCGTGGATTAAGGCTTCTGGATGTACCACATTAGTGGCAACGAGACTGGACCTTAACGTGGTGCGACGGTTTGCGTACCTCATTGACCCATTGAGCTATACTGGGTGATGCCTCCGAGCATCTCGAGAGCTACTCCTACCAGGTTGGTCAATGGTGAGAGGTCAGACAAACTCAGTCTCCTGGTCCTCCAGGTTAGGGGTTTGATATGGGATGGCGTCCATTTCTGTAAAACTAAATCACTGCCACCCCGCTGCCTTGTGGACAGGCTTTTGAGCCAAAGGCTTTGGATGAGGACCCTAATCGTTCTCCTGTCTAGGTCTGGGCGCCCTGGCAGTATCCCAGCCCACATACAACCATGACATTCTCTTCAAACATAAACTTCATCCTGCATCGGCCGTCGCGCAGATTATCAAGGGTCGCCTTATCTGCTGCATACAGCAAGGCGGATAAGCGAAAGCATGCTACTGCTGGCGCCTCCCTTCTTTCTTTTCCACCTTTTTCTCTTACTCCCATCCCGGCCCCCATTACTAACCTTCCTTCTATAATTCCCAGCTTAATTGACAGCAACCGAAGTGCTACTGGAGTCGAACCATCTGCAGCCACCATCCCACAGCACCTATCGGACGCCTATCGGCAAAAGTTCCTTATAAGACCACGCTGTCCCGTTTCCATGGCGACATTCAACGTCCGCACTCTAAGACAAACAGGTCAGCAGGCTGCACTCGCACGCACCTTGGACACACTGGGTGTTGATGTGTGTTGTGTGTCCGAAACTAGGATTAATGACCCTAACGGGGTTATTGAATTGACTGCACCCGGCTTATCCTCTCGTTATTGGTTGCACGCATCCGAAGACGCCGATGCGGCACTCACGGGTCAAGCTGGTGTAGGTATCATTCTCAGCTCCAAGGCTGAGTCATCGTTGGTTGATTGGATTCCGGTGAACAGCCGTTTATGTGCAGCCCGTTTGACGACATCAGCTAAGGTGAATTCGCAAAGTAAAACAAAACGCTGTTTGTTTGTGATTTCTGCTTATGCTCCCACCGACTGCAGTTCTAATGCAGTCAAGGACACTTTCTATCACGAACTGAACACGCTGCTACGCAGTGCTACTAGTTCAGATATTATAGTACTTGCAGGGGATATGAACGCACAAGTAGGGCGTCTGAGCTCTTCAGAAGCTCAGCTGGGTGGTAAGTATGGACTTAACGCCGAACGGACTGACAACGGCGAGCGTCTGCTGCAACTGTGTGCGGAGCACCAGTTTTTTCTTACTAGCACTGCTTTTAGACACAGTGGGCGCCGAAGTGCCACTTGGCGTCCACCTGTAGCTGGTCAGCGATGGACCCAAATTGATCACATAGCCATAAGTTACAGGTGGCGCGGTTCCATTCTGGATTGCCGCTCGTACTGGAGTACCTGTGTCGACTCTGACCATGCCTTGGTGCGCTGTCGTTTCTCCATGAACTTTACCGGAAGGCGCACAAAGCGTCTCCCCCGATTGGCAACGGAGAAATTGTCCCAGCCCTCTGTCAGGCAAGCCTATCAAGAAGCACTGCATAACGAACTCTCGCTGTCTTGTCCTAATGATACTGAACTTCAGTGGAATAGGATCTCGACTGCCATGCACGACGCAGGAGCATCTGCTTGTGGCACTATCAGTCGTCATCGCACCAGTCACTGGATATCCGAGAGGTCCGTGAACCTGTTGGAAGCTAGAAGGCACCTCCCGGCTGGTTCTGAACACAATGTGACCAGACGGGCTATTAGGCGTGAACTAAAGCGGAGCCTACGTGCTGACAAGGAAGCCTGGTGGACCAGTCGGGCTCAGGAAATGGAGGAAGCAGGAGCAGTAGGCAATTACCGCAAGCTCTTCCAGCTAATACGCACCACTGGTCCGAGGAAACCAGGCGTCAGTGAGACAATCAGGGACAGCGCGGGTGCGCTGATACACAATAAGGAGCGCCGTATGGCTCGTTGGTCTGAGCACTTTGAACATCAGTTCAGCTGGCCCCCTGCTCCCGGACCTCTTCCTACTCAGGTGATGCAGGACGAGTCATGGACGGTTAGTTTAGAGCCTGCGTCGGAGGCCGAGGTCCGAAACGCGATCACAGCCCTCAATCGTTTTCGTGCCGCTGGCCCGGATTCCCTCCCACCTGCACTATTTAAGGATGGAGGTGAGGTCTTCTGCAAAGCACTGACCTCCCTATTCGAACGCATCTGGAACGAAGAGAGTGTGCCGGCTAATTGGAGCGAATCGATTATAGTGGCAATATACAAAAAGGGCAGTCGCACAGACTGTGCGAACCACAGGGGTATTAGCCTAACGCCAGTTGTGACAAAATTACTGGCCTCGATTATCGTTCGTCGCCTCACTGCAGAACGGGAATCTCGGATTAGAGAAGAGCAGGCCGGTTTTCGCCCAGGACGTGGCTGTAAAGACCATATATTTACTTTGCGGCAGGTGCTAGAGCAGCGCCACGCATACCGCAGACCGACAATAGCAGTGTTCCTCGATTTCAAGAGTGCGTTCGATTCAGTCGATCGATCGATTCTGTTGGAAATACTTGCGCGGAAAGGTGTTCCCACGAAATATGTGAACATCCTTCGTGCTCTATACTCGAACACTAGAGGCCGCGTCAGGGTCTATGGTGCCCTATCGGATAGCTTTTCGACTACAAGTGGCGTTCGACAGGGTTGCCCGATTTCCCCGTTTTTGTTCAATTTCGTCGTGGATTCTATCATGGAGTGTTCCCTTGCGGAATCTCACGATGTAGGTGTTGAAGTGCTGCCTGGTGAACGGTTAGTTGATCTAGATTATGCGGACGATATCGTCTTGCTTTTCGACAATGTTGAGGCGGCACAATCAACCCTGAATAGCCTGTCCAGAGTGGTCCCATTATTTGGTATGCACTTCGCACCTTCAAAGTGCAAAGTGTTGCTGCAGGACCACCAGCCACTCGATGACCCCTTGACGCTTGTTAACGAGGAACTCGAGGTGGTTGATCAATTCACTTATCTGGGCAGCTGCATCAGCAATGATGGGCGCATAGAAACTGACGTGAGCTCACGCATTGCAAAGGCCAGAGCTGCCTTCTTGAACCTGCGTCATCTTTGGCGACAGAAGGGAGTTTCCCTCCGTCTGAAAGGCCGTGTATACAAGGCCACAGTGAGGGCCGTTCTGCTCTATGGTAGTGAAACTTGGCCCCTTCGGTCTGAAGATCTGAAGCGCCTTCAAGTCTTTGATCATCGTTGTTTGCGAAGCATTGCTGGTGTCGGATGGCACCAGCGTGTCCGCAACGATGATGTGCGT